GGGGGCCGCCCGGCAGCCCAGTGGGGGAACCGGGACGGGCAGTGCAGGCTCACAGCCGGGCAAACCGCACACACGACCCCTCGCGTTACTGCCGGCGGCTCAGAACTTTGTGAAGGCGCCTGGCTGCTGGCGGACAGCTGGGACAGGACCACAGCACGTCCACACGCATCAAACCAGACCTGGGGACAGGTGACAGGCAGCCACAGTCCTGTCTGCCAGCATCAACACAGACAGGGGGCGCTTCTTTCAGGGAGGTGCCGCTCCAGCCTGTCCCCCGTTCACAGCTCTGAGTCCCCCCGTCCTGGCTCCGGACCGGGCAGCAGGTCCGTGCTCTGGGGGTCGGCAGCAGCCCTGCACGGCCAGTGTGTGGCGGCCCGCGAGGAGAGAGGCCGAGCTGTCCCGAGGAAACCATGACACAGCTAATCTCTGCCCACCCGCCGCACGCGTGTGGGCTGCCACTGTGCCCCCCCCCCCAGCCCCGACTCGCCCGCGTTTCATAACTCAAGGGTCCACAACAAGCCAGCATCCCTGCGACCGGCAGGCCCTTCTGCAGCCGGGGGAGGGCGCGCCCGGTCCCCGCACCCCCTGGCCTCCCCAGCACCCGCCCTGTGCACAAGCTCGGCCCCATCACCCCAGCCCCCACGCCCCCGGCCCCCGTGAGCCTGTGGGGGCTCCCGGCTGCTGCTGCTGTTTCCACAGGAGCACCTTGCAAAACGGATGTCGGAAACGCACCCCCGCCCCCCCCCGCCCCAATGCGGCCCCCGCAGCTCATCTACCTCCGACCATCTCAGCAGCGCGGGCGCCCCCACGCACATCGCCTGCGAGGACCCTGCAGCCAGCGCACGTCAACACTGCCCGCGCCGTGCCGTGTCGTCAGCGCAGACTGGAGCCAGGACCGGCCGGGGCGGCGGGAGCCGGAGCCAGGGGAGGGCCGGGCCGGGGGAGCAGGTGCCGCCTCCCCGGGCTCCGCGCCGCACGCTGCGGCCGGGACCTGCCGCCTGCAGAGCCAGGCGCCCACATGCCCCGGCCCACGGCGGACGCAGGGCCGCCCCAGGCCCCGAGGGGCTCAGATGAGGGTGCGGTTATTCCCTGACCCGCGGCCGCACGGAGGGCCCTGGGCCAGACCCCGTCTGGGGGCACACGCTGCCTTCACAGCCCCTGCATCAGTGGCTGCTCTGTGTGCCATCCGTCAGCCTCGGGAACCAGGCCCCCACGTTCTCCCCCCCACCCGCACGCCCGCATCGCGTCTGCTGGAGCATCCGTGCGGCGGCCTCGAGGCCGGGCCGCAGCTCGGCCGAGAGCGCACGGCCTGCCCTGGCGGCCGAGCAGCACTCACCCTTCCTCCTCCGCCGCGGCCGCCGCACGGGCGCCTTTATGCTCTATGGGGCAGTGGGCGTGAAGGCAGGCATCTTCCTGCCCTTTCAAGCCCCGGGCCGCCCTCCGTCCCCTCGACCCCGCAGCAGGCGGGTGGGCTCCCAGGCCCCGCGGCTACTGAAAGGCGGGCTGGTCCCCCACCTCTCGAGTCCTGCCTCCTCAGGTCTCCAGGCCCGGTGGTACCGGCTCCCCCGGGGAGCTGGAGCCGGCAGCTGAGGCACCAACGAAAACACGGCCTGGATGCGGAGGAGCTGACGTCACGTGAAAACAAGCCTCTCTGCCCGAGCCGGTCCCGGGAGCCGGGGCGGCCGGGAGCGCAGCATGCCCTCCAAGGGCGACGCGCCCAGCTGGCCCGCACCCTCCTGCCGGGTGCAGGGACCCAGTGGCCACCCAGGTGCAAGTGACCTCTGACCCCCATCCACAAAGGGACTGAGCCGGGTGACCGGGCGGTGGGAGCAGGGGGTGGGGAGCAGGGGGAGGGGGGAGGCCGGGGGTCCGGTCAAAGGCTGGATGACCATGGGGCGGGTGCCTCCTGAGGTTGTCACTGCTCTGGGGGGCACCAGGAAGGGCAGCTGGGGGGCCCGCCACACACAAGGCGGAAGAGCAGGGTAGCTGAGGGACTGAGTACAACTGCACACCCAGCGGCCCCAGGTGGGGGGGCCCCCGGGGGCCTCAGCAGCGTGTTTCCCCGGGGGGCTGGGCCCCCCCACAAAGGGCCTCACGCGCTGCCTGTTTTGGCAGCCAGAGCAGACCCTCAGCCAGGACAGCCAGCCTGACCCTCCTCCTCCCTGGCTGGGTCCCCCAAACCCACCCTCAGTCCTCCCACGGCACCGGAGGACTGAGGTGCCCAGGCCCGTCTTCCTTAGATCCAAAATGCAGGGAAGTCCGGGGACCTCCAGCCGAGCAGAGCCGAGCAGCAGGCTTCGGCCTGGGGGCGCAGCCTCGAGGGGACACTGTCACCCCTCACGGCCCTGACGACACCTGCTGCCACTGCGGGGCGGTCTGCAGGCAAGCTCCCCGCTGGAACCCTCCAGAACCTCCTCCACCCTGCGCCCTGCAGGGGCCCAGGCACCAGGCTCTCAGGTCTGCAACCCCGCCCTCAGCACAGACTCCGGCCACGGCCTGGGTTCGAAGCCTGGCTCCTCTGACACCTGCCATGTGCCCCGAAGTCACCGTGGAGCTCGCTCGTGAGCGGCTGGCCCCGCGACCGCGGTCCACAATCACCCGAGTGTAAAGGCAACCCCTGGGGTCAGGTGCCCACGCGTCCTTTACTGGAAACGCACGCTGATGGGCCTCCCTGCCCACGGGCAGCCGCCCCCGTGGGTTTGATCAGCTGAATAAAATCAAAACAGTGGCACTTCAAGACACTCGAAAATGACGTGACCTGCTGACCCGCCGTCCACACTCCGTGGTGGCCACTCCTGTGCCGCAGGGATGCCAAATGGCCGCGACAGACCACTGTCCACAGAGCCCCGTGCGCACGGCCCCGGCTGTCCCAGGAGACCAGCGACGACCCCGACCGGGTCTGCAGAGCCCGGACGAGCTGAGGTTCCCCGAGCACACGAGGCATCCGGGAAAGACGGACGCAGTGGCTGCCGTGTGAGTGGCCGCATGGGATGGGCATGTCACCCCCAATCCGCCCAAAGCATGCAGTTTGCAGGACCCAAGAAAACCCGGGCTGACCCGGGGGGCTGCTGACTTTATTGGAAGCCGACTATCGGTGGAAAACTACCTTTTCCGGTTAGTTGCAAATGATTTGAGACAAAGCTGAACGGAGCCAGGTGTTTAATGGACCTATAGACAACCCCGTGGTGCCGGGAGCTGCAGGTGCGGGTTGTTCCAGAAGCGCCTGGGGCAGCTCCTGGCGGCCCCACCCCCGAGGACAAGCCGCTGTCCAGGGGCCGAAGGGCGCTGGGCAGGGAGCGACAGTGGTGTCTCCCCCGGAGAGGGGGCCTGACTGGGGCGCCCCACGTACAGAGGATCTAGGGTGGGGTCGAGGCATCGGCAACACGCAGCTGTGGGGCCCACCCGCAGGGGGGCCGCAGACGCGCCACCAGACCCACAATCCACCCCACAGTCTGGCCCGGAGCGCGCTCCTGCCCACAGCACCCACTGCGCAGCCCCAGTCCCCAGTGGTCCCACGTCCAAATGTCAAACGGGGGCCCGCACCCCCAAGTCAGGCCTCACATGAACACACCCTCACTGTGTAACCCAGGACAACACCCCGCTCATGGCCGCCTCCCCACGTTGCTGGAAGGCTCTCCCATGACAGCCGGTGCCCTCGAAGCCACCGAGGGCCTCCCAAGGGCCCGCCTCTGTGCCCAAGGAGGGACGCTGGCAAGGCTCTGCCTTCTTTCTCCCCATCCCCCCACGGGGACAGGGCCACGGGGGAGTCACCCCACTTCCACCTCCCGCAGAGACCCGAGCCCTCAGCATCCTGGGGCCCCCACCCCCAGCAGAGCAGAGGCTGAGCCGACCCCAACGACCCTCCCCCTCATGAGACCAGCGTGCAGGTGACCCAGGACCGGGTGGCGACCCCACAGGGAAGAGCCAGGCGGGCGCCGGGGTGGCCGCGGAAGGGCAGACCCCAGACACCAGGGCCAGGGCGGAGCTGACTCCTCAGACGCTGGGCAGTGTGGTGGCCCAGGCCATGCAGGCTGCTGGCCACCTCTGTGGACAGGTCAGGAGAGACCGCCTGTCTCCACCATCGAGAGACACCTAGGTGTCAACTACCAGGACGCCCCCTTGAGAACCCAGCGGAGGAGACCTCGCCTCCCAGCAGGAACACCCACCACGTTTTATTTGTTCGTACACCACAAACCGCTGAGGCGGACGGCACCTTTCAGGACACACGTCCCTTTCTGTGGGACGTGCGTAGCCCCAGGTGGGTGGGGGAGGACAAGGACCCTGAAACCCCCGTGCAAGCCGCCCACCCCGCCAGGCCCGCTCTGGCTGCCTGGGGCTCCAGCAGGAAGGACCCTGGGTCACAGCGCCCCCCCAGCCTCGCCCCCCGCTGCACGCCCACCTCAGACCCCTGCCATGGCCTGAATCCCTGCAGCTCCCAAGTCCCACTCACAGAAACACGACACATCATACTCGTCTCCTGCGGTTCCTGGGCGGGTGTGCCCGGGACGGCCGCCCTGGCTGGGGTGCTTCCCGGAAGCCCTCCCCATCCCTGGCTTCCCAGCCTCCAGATCTCAAACTGCCCCCCCCCCCACTGCCTCACCCTCGCCCTCTGACCCTTGTGCACCTTGCTGGTCATTTGCCCCCACCCGCACAGTCGGTGGGGCTCCTGCGGGCCCCTCCCAGCCAGCACGTGACTCACCCTGTGCTCCCCAACAGGGTCCTGCCCTCCTGGGGAAGATGAAGGCCTTTTGGGGGCTTCCTGGCACCGGCCCTCCCCAGTGGCCCGGCTCGTGCACCAGGACAGACACACAAAACGAGGCCGGGACACACCCCAGTGAAAACCCCAGAGGAGGCCCCCCATCCAGTCACTCCCCTTAGTCCTCCTGGGATAAGCAGTCCCACACCACAGACCACCAAAACTGCCACCCTCTCCTGGCCGGCAAGCGCGCCAGGGTCCACGCCGCAGCGAGGGCAGGAAGCAGAGGGAGGCGGGTACTCACTGTCTTCTCCGGGGCAGGGCATGCCGGGCTGCTCGGGGCTGCTGGGGAACACTGTGTGGGGAGAGAGAGCCTGCGTCAGCCCCACGGCGCCGTTCTCTGGAGGTGGCGGGCCAGGCATGAGAGCAGAGCCCGCGCGGACCACGGCCACCTGCTTGGGAGACGCTCAGGAAGGCCGAGAGTTCGGAGCCTCGGCACGTGGGCATCCGCCCGAGTCCCTCCTACAGGACACAAAGGCTCAGCGAGGCCAGGAGCGTCGTAGGAGGGACGCGGGTGGCCGAGCGCCGGCGTCCTGAATCTCTGCAACACGGAGCGGGAGGCCCTCTGTCACTCCGGACCCGGTGGTGCAAGCTCGCCTCCGTGTCTCTGCTCCCAGGGGCTCACGGGCAAGCACTGTCAGTTGCGCCCAGGGCTCCCGTGTGAGTTATGGAAACAGGAGCTCAGGTAGCGCCCAAACAACAGTAAAAGTCTTTTCCCTCTTCTGGAACACAGTGGGTTTAAAGCTCCACGGCTGAGAATGTTGAAGGCGCCGCGAGTGTGCTCGCCCCACAGGGACACGGTGGAGGACTCGAGCTTTCAGACCTAAGCCAGGCCTCTGTGTGGAGCTTCAGAACCAGGAGGTTTCAACCAGCCACTAGCCCAGCGCTGGAGTAGGTGACTGACTGGCACAGAGCGGCGGCCAGTCTTGCACTCTGGCCCACCACGTGGCTGCTCAGCCACAGCTGCCAGAGCCACACCTTGGGGCCTGGACACCCTGCAGGACCCTGAGAGAGTGGGGGCACGATGTGAACCCCCAACTTAAAGACCACACTGGGACGACAGCGACATTTCAACTCTCACCCCAGCTCTGGGCCCAACAGGCTGAGGAGGACTGTGAGCCCGGGACGCTGCAGGGAGGAGCATCTGGTCTGTCCCCGAACAGTTCAGGGGGACCTCCCTGCTCTGCCCGCTCTCGTGCACCCAGACCCTTGTCGCTCCGGGAGAGCTGGAGGCAGCTGAGCCAGCCCAATGCACCCAGGACATGGACCCCAGGACACACTGCCAGGGCCCAGAGGCCGAGCAGGCGCCTCCCGGATTCTGCCAGGAAGAGCAGTTTCTACCTGGGCTAATAACGTGTAAGAAAAAGCCCAAAGCACATTACACTCAGCATCCTTAACTCTCTGCTGCCCTAAGACCCTGAACTGTGGTTGTCTGTGTGGCTCCCAGTCCCCCAGCCAGTCCAGCAAACAGAGGGCAGCTGTGGGGAGCCCTGCCGCCCCCCCCCCCCCACTGCGGCACTGACCGTGAAAGACGAGCCCATCGTCCCTGTGCTGACAGGACAGGCGGAAGGCCTCCTCCAACTCCATCTGGGAGGACACAGTGCAGGGGTCACCTAGGGGGCGAGACCCATCGCTGAGGCCACCGCAGGCCTAAGGCAGAGGGGCCCACATGACACGCTGCCACCCCAGGGCCCCACATCGGAAGCAGTCCACCCCAAAAGGGAGGCTGAGTTCACCCACAGCCTGAGACAGCTGAGCCCAGAGCTTCGGTCTGCGAGCTCCTGGGCTTGGGCGAGATCCAGAATGTTCTTAGGCCAGTCCGAGCCCAAAGGGAAAGGCTCCTGGCATCCACTGCTAGACAGGGGGGCACAGACATGCACAGAGCCTGCGGCCGAGTGGCCCTGTCCCAGCAGGGAGGAGCTCCCTGCACCCTCGGCTGACGGCTGCAGCCACAGTCATGGGAAAAGGGGTCCCTCCTGGGATGTGTATCTGACTGAGGCAGACAGAGTGACAGAGAGGGGGATGGGACGGAAGTCACCTGCCCGCTTTCCTCGAGAAAATGCAGAGAGCTCATCCCCCCAAACCACCCACAGGTGAAGCCCCTGGTCTGGGGAAGGACGGACAGTCCTCCTGCCCACGCCCACCCAGCCCCGCCCCCAAGGGCGGCCTGCCTCTTCCCAGCACAGACGCCCGCCCCACTGGGAAGCTGCGCTGCCCCGCAGAGGGCGGGGCCTGCCTCCAACGCACAGAGGGAGGCGCGCCCCCTGCTGGCCGCGACCCAGGCTACCTTCGCTGTCCACCCACTTGAGGGTGAGCGGCTGCCCCCGGTGCAGGCTGCACATCTCCCTCACTTCCGCGCAGAGCTCCTCGAAGGTGGTCGCCGCGTCCAGGCTGGTGATCAGCATGTCCCTGGGCAAAGAGGGTGCGGACAGGTCGCCACGGCACGTGTGTGAATCAACTTACATGCGGGTTACCAACTGACCAAATTATTGATGAAATAACTGAGATTTTCCCAGAACCACGGGCGCAGATTTTGTTAAATTAGCACCCGGAAGGCCCTTGCGCGGAGGCGCCCCCTACTGGAATCCGGGAAAGCAGCAGCTCAGGCACCAGGGTCACCAGCAGTTCTGCCCAAACGTCACCAGGTGGATCAAGCCATAGTCTTCATTAACCTGTCTGCACACCTGGACCATGCAGACGAGTGAATCACGTCCAAGGACGAAGGCCTGGGGCGGGCTGGGGGACTGGGGGGAAAACTGTGGGGGGAGGGAAGGCAGGGGCATCATGGAATGATGTAATGACCCAAGGACGCTCTGGAGGAGCCATTCACCTGCCTCCTTGCACTTTTGTTTGAAAAGGAAGTCACACAGAATGCCACTGCCTTTTATCTTTTTACCCAAAAGCGGAATGCTGACGCTGGAAATGCCCCCAGTGGGGCACTTCCCACGCTGCCCAGGCCCCGAAACAGGCGCTGGCCCAGTCCCTTCACCATCATCGCTGAACTGAGAGGGGCGTACATCCTGGGAGCACAGGCTGGGGCTTCGAGGAAAACGCACCCACGCCTGCCACCCGACAGCGAAGGGCCTGGAGCAGACTCTGCAACCTCCCGCCCGCAGGAGGGCAGTGCCCACCTGGCGGCACAGGTGTCAGCACCGCCGGCCTCCGACCTCCTCAGTCGCCAGTTTATAGAGTCACCGACCACAGGACGGCAAGGTGAGGGCCACCAGGGCCCAGGACCTGCCCACCGGGACCGGCCCACTGGCCTCGCTCACCCTGAGGGCCGCTGGCTGCCCGCTCCTCCCGCGGGTCATCTGCTCAAAGACCCTGGCCACCTGCCCCAGGAGCCCAAGCACAGCAGGGCTAACCCGGCCCTTCGCCACCACGGCCTGTGGCAGCTCAGCAGACGGGAAAGGAAGGCACAGGAGGGGCACGTGCTCACGCGTGAGGGCTCCAGAGGCAAAGATCCCACCACCGCCAGCTCCACCCCCCTGGGTCACCCTGACCTGGTACCTGGCACACGTGTCATCTGACCCCGTGTCCCCGGTCCCCCTGCCCCCACAAACTCTGGAAGTCGGGGTCTGCCGTCCCTTCATCTTTGACCTCTCCTTGCCCCAGGACCCTCCCCCCATGTACTGCCTCTAAGTGGAAGCTATTTCCCCCAGGAAACACTGTGGGAGCCCCCAATGGCAGGCTGGACCACCAAGGGCTCTGACTCTCCCAGCCCAGTGAGGCATGACGTCAGCAAGCCCAGGAGGGGCCATCCCTCCCCCTCCCTCCCCCCCCCCCCGTGCGAGACCCCTGACCACTACCCCAGCCCTTACCCCAATCACCCCAATCCTGAATCGAGCAGACCTCCTGAGCAAGAAGAGTCCTGGGCAGGGTGACCAGGAGTCAGCGCCCAGCAGCCTGGGAGCTGCCCCTCTCCTGACACCCAGGTCTCCTGGGCGCAGGACCAGCGCTGGGCTTTGCACACAGCAGGCCCCGGACAACACAGACTCCGGAACAGGAGGCTGAGCTGCGCAGAGGAACAGCCAGCAGCCAACTCCACAGCCTCACAGAAGCAGCTGTCTGAGGCTCAGCAGGGTCCCCCAAACCACCCGAGCACCCTGGAAAACGCAGGTGCCACCAGACCCCACACGGACTCTGGGCACACCCTCTGAAGGCCCCAGTGGGGGAGGGAGACCATGACATCAAGCCTTTGGGGGCCCTCTGGGGATGAGAAGGGGTGACCAGAAGAAACCATTACCAGTAGGAGTAGCCAAAGAGACCCCCCTTTTCAACAGCGTCTTCCATGTGTCCGACCCTCAGCCCCTGGCCCAACTGCATAAAACCGGCCTCCCTCCAGGAGGTACCAGCACCCTATCATCCAGAGCCAGTAATGTCACCTGGGCCCACGGGGTCTGGGTAAGTGGGTGCTGCTCTAGGTGGGCATCTTCCAGACCAGTGTCAGGGCCACGCTAAGGACCAGGTGTCCCACCCCAGTCCCCTGGGAGAGGCAGGGGCAAGACATGAAGAGCAGGTAGAGAAGGAGAAAAGGCAGCCCAGGGCGGAAAAGAGGGTTGCCGGAGGGGGAGGGGGCGGGAAGGAAGAGGAGGAAGAGGAGGAAGAGGGGAAGGAAGAGGGGGAAGAGGGCGCAGAGGTGGGGAAGGGAAGGAAGGGAAAAGAGTGGGGGCGTGGCCTCATCGGAGGGGGAAACCAGACTCAGCAGCTCAGGTTACTCCTGGTAACCAAAGAGCTCTCCGGGGGCCAAAGCCGGGGGGTCCCCTGAGCTTTCCCCACAACCCACCTCCATCCTGGCGCCCAGGCTGAGGGCCTGCAGGGGCCTCTTTAACCTGTCTGCTGCAGAGCCCGGTTCCCACTCACCCCAGGGGGCTCTGGGTGTGGAGGTCCTACCTCTAAGGGTTATCTCTGATTCTGACAAAGTCTCTGGTTACTCCGTTCCAAGATTCCACAGCTGTTCCAGTTTACCCAGCGGCAAGCCCAAGGGCCCCGCCCTGGGGGGAGCTGGAGACCCAGGACCCAGCTGACGGCTCCCGGGCTCTGAGCCGCAGCCTCCCGACCCCTTCAGGTGGGCTCGCCAGCGCTTCCCCCAAATCCTTCCCTTCGGTTCTGCCAACAACTGCCCCCCACCTGGCTGAAGATGGCGGAGGGGTAGGAGAGGCTTGACCAGAGACCCCCAACAAGAAACACTCAGGTCAAGAGCCCGAAGTCCCTCCTTGGGCGTGAGGACCCGCCCGGGAGTGCCCCTCGGGCAGATCCCGAATACTGGGGGTGCCACTCTAGCCAGACCGATAGGCTCACCCGCAATATCCCATCGGCGTCCCGCTCCCCCCACCCCCACCGGGCCGTGGCGACCTGGACAGCAGCTAGGTCCGATTTCCGGACTCCTGGAGACCAACGCCGTGGTAGGAAAAAGCAGCAAAGGTGCCTAGTCCTGCGAAAGCGCCGTCTACAATGCGCTCGGGGCGCCGCCCCCTCCGTCCCCACCGGGATTCCCGCGGCCAAGCGCGTCACGCTCCCCGCCCGGGTCGCCCGCTCGCCCTCTTTCGCCGGGAGGCAGATTGAGTCGAAGGCGCAGAACACGGCCGCGGGGCGGATCGGTGCCCCAAAGGTCTGGTCTCGGGGGATCGACGCCCAGCGCTCCCCACGCTTAGCCGCGGGCGGCTCAGCCCCGGGCCTTCGCCTTGGTCATTAAGCTTTTCTCAGACTGAGAACTCTAGCCGGGGACGCTGGGAAAACTCAGCAAACCCCGATCTCTAAAGGTGCACCCGCAGTTTACACCATCTGACCCAAAGTTTAGTCTTCACAGTTGGTGGCCTTCACGGTCCAGCTAACTTCCCAGTGAAAATGTCCACACTGTGCCCAGGACTGAAGAGCGCTCCGCGGAGTCACCCCGGCATCCCGCGCGCAGGAACGCCCGCCGGTTGGGGGGCGATCCGGAGCCGCCTCTCGGCGCTGGTGCGTCAGGACCTCCCGGGACGCCCGGGGCCCGAATGCGCCTCGCTGTCCCCTGGCTCCCGCGCTGCAACCAAGACCGCGCGGCTCTTGGACGCTCGCGGCAGCGCCGACACGGTCCCCGACGGGTGGCGGGGTGTGGCTGCCCGCGCCCCGACCCGTCCCGCCCCGCTCACCCGCTGTAGTGCGCCTTGAGGCGGACCCGGCCGCTGATCCCGTCCATCTTGGGGCCCGTCCTGCTGGGCATGGCGCGCTCCGGACGCCGTCAGCGCCGCGCCCCAGGCACTCGGGCCATGGAAAGAGGCCCCCAGCGGCCCGGCGCCAGGTGGGGCGGGCGGCAGAACGCGGAAGGGAGCGCGCAGCGCTGGGGTCCAGAGGCGCCTGCCAACTCCGCCGAACTTGGGCGGCGCGCCGGACGGGGCGGGGGCACGGAGTCTGGCGTCTGGCCCGCCGGGGCGGGGGGGGGGGGGTCCGAACATGGCCGACCCAGCCCGCGGCCAATCGGCGGGGCGGGCGGTCCCCCGGCGGAGGCGGTGGCACCTGCGGCCAATGAGGGCGAGGCGGGGCCTGCCACCTGGGCCAATCCCTGGGGGACCCCACGGCCGCGGCCCAATGGCGCGGCGCGGGGACACTACCTGTCGGGCGGGGCGCGGCCCACCTGCGGCCAATAGGAACGCGCGCCGTCTGGCTCTGCCCGGCAACCTCCGGCTGTGTCGGCGGCCGGGGATTCGGGGACTGCTCGTCTGCCAGGGGCCATTCTGTGCAGTTCGCTCCGGGGCCAGCGATTCCTAGGTGGGGTCCCCGCGCTGCAGTGGCCCAGGGACTTAGAAATGCCAGCTCTCGGGCCTGGATGCACTGAATCGGAAGTCCAGCCGTCTGTGCTAACAAGAAGCGAGCGATTCCAGGGAGAGCTCTGATCTAGGCGAGAGCGGGCAGGGGTCGCTGAGGCCAGGGGGTGGGCGGTGGACAGAGGGAGCTCGGCCTCTCCTCAGTGCGGTCAGGAACTCAGATCCACGGTCTCCCAACGCGCTACGACGGCGTGTTAGCAGTTTCCAGCTGCGGAGACAGAGGCTGCGTGGAGCAGAGAGGCGGGCCAATGTCCGGACGGACGGAGAGGGTTCAGGCTCCGGACTCTGCTGGTTGTCTGGCCCAGCCGCCCTCCTCCCGTGTGGGATCCAAGACCCCACTGCGGGCAAGGCTTGTCCACCCTCGCCGGCCAGCCGCCTCTACTCCTGGACAAGGAGCCTGACTGCGTTTGCCCAGGTCGCTGGTGACATTCATTTCTGAATCCGCAACCGTCCTTCTTGGCATTTGATCTGGACAGTCGCCTTTGAACCACTCCAGGGACGGGCATCCTCTGCCCCCGCCCGGCGAACGTGGGATTGAGTGTCCGAGGAACCCGCCCCTTCCTGGCTGCATCTACAGGACCCACATCTGCCGTTAGTAGGACCTCATCTGGGCGCCCCGCCCCCGCCCCGGGCCTGCAGTCGCCTCACCCCTGCCACACCTGCCGAACCCCTAGCTCCCCCAGGCGATCCCCTGGCGCCACCCGCCCCTTCCTCGCCCCACCCTGTTGGCAACCTCTGACCCCCGATTCCACGCCCCGCCAAGGCTTCACCCCTCCTCACCTGGCCACGCCTCAGCTGGACAATTTTAAGGACTGCTCGTTCACTGACTCTTTCGTTCCACGGATGCTTCGGGCCTCTCTTCACCTCCTCTGTGCCAGGCACTGCAGGAACCCCGGGGAACGGAATGGACCCGCCTCTGCGGTCCTAGAACCCTTGTCCTTCCCAGAGACAGCCACAGAGAAACCTGCTGACAGCCCACTTCTCACCTACTTAATGTGCTGGGGGGGGGTCATCTCTCCCTTCTTAAAAAAAAAGCACCCCTCCCCCTGGGCCACTTGCGGCTCCTCTTCACTCCAAAACCCCTTCCAGGAGCCTCTGCATTCCTGCCTGCACTTCATCTCTCCTGCCGCTTTCTGAGTCCCCATCCCCACCCACCAGACTCCTGTGTCTCTAATGCTGGGGTGGCCCCGGCCGGGTATCTCCGTGGGTTGGAGCGTTGTCCAGATAAAATGAGGTTGCTGGTTCAGTCCCGGTCAGGGCACAACCAAGAAGCAACCATCAGCCGCGTGAACAAGTGGGACAGCAAACCAACCGTCCTCCCCCTGACTGTGTCTCTGTCTCTCTCCCTTCCTCTCTAATATCAATAAATACTTTCTTTTTTTTTTAAGATTTTATTTATTTATCTTTAGAGGGGAAGGGGGGAAGGAGAGAGGTAGAGAAGCATCAATGTATGGTTGCCTTCGTGCATCCCCTGCTGGGAACTGGCCTGCAGGGAACCGGCCTGCAACCCAGGCATGTGCCCTGACTGGGAATCGAACCGCGATTGTCTGGTTCGCAGGCCCGCGCTCAATCCACTGAGCTACACCAGCCAGGGCCAAATACTTTCTCTTAACGGACCCTTGCTGGGCACCCTCGGAAACCCTCACCCTAGAACGTTGCTCTCTCCCAGCCTCCTCCACCCCCAGCCCCTTGTGGCTTCCTCCAGGCAGGTGTTGGCTCTGAAGGCCCCCCCAAGCTCAGACTGTGTGTCCTGGGCCTGGTCCCCCACCACACACACCTCTCGGCCCGACCGCCCCCCCAACCTTCCACCTTCAGCCTGCTCCCGGATTCCAACCGCATCCTGCAACCTCCCTGGGGACCCCCTGGTCCAGACCCCACCCTCTGCACAGGGATTTTCACCCCAGCTTCCAATTTCCTTAAAACAACGAGTCACTCTGTCCAGTGTTCAAAACCCCCAACGATTCCCATCATCCTTTGGAAAGACCCACGGGGCCCCGGACCCCATTTCTTCTGCCTTTCCCTCCCACCGTCCGCAGCCTGGATCCCTGCGCTCTGGCCACCAGGCCAGCTCCTGCTTTGGGCTTCTGCAGGTGCTGCAGGTGCTGCTCTCTCCAGGAGCCCCTTCGCCCAGACCCACACTGCCTTCAGGTCCCACCTGCTCACCCACCCCCACCCCGTGGGTGACTCCTCAACGCTCTGCACAGGCACACAGGGCTCCTCGGCCGTAGGTGGGCTGTGGGGGCAAACTGGATTCCAGGGTCTGCCGTGGAGGGTGCCTTTCTAACCGGGGAGCCCTTGCTGAGGCTGAAGCCACTGGCCTCCAGTGTTTCCCGGGCACTAGCCAGGGCTGCAGCCGCCACGTGGGGGCCTCCCTCCTGGAGGCTGGGTCACAGAAGCCCCCCAGTCCCAGAGGAGGGCAGCTGCCTGGCTTGGGGTGAGGCTCTGCTCTCTGTGGAGGTTAGAGAGGGGGAGGGGAGTGTCCTAGGAGGGGGTCCTGAGAGAGGTTCGACCCCTGGGTCTGGGACCACATGCAGCCCCTGGTTGGGGTGCGGTGCCCAGAAAAGCCACCCCTCCCAGCAGCCTCCCATCCCCCCACCCCCAGGAGGATGGAGGCCTGGGCTTCTGCATTCTCCCACCAACTCGAGCTGCAGCCAGCCCATCCAGGCCCTCAGACCAGTCTTGAGGGCAGCGGGCGTGGTCCGGAGGGACGAACGGGCAGGCCCATCCAGCCTCAGCCGGTGCACTGCCTGCTCTGCACCCCAGGGACTGGGCAGGGTGTTTGTTCCAAAACTTTCCGTCCAGCTCCCCATCCGGACATGGTGGGGGCTGGGACCTGATGTGCCCCCCTGCCCCCAGTCCCCGGGCACCTGGCACACAGTGGAATGAATGAGTGACTGAGTGCATGCACAGTAAAGCCCCCTTTCCGGTGCCGGGACCTGGCCAGCCTCCTAGGACTTTGGCCCGTCCCATGGGTCGCTGGGCAGGGCGGCACCTCTGCTCTGCAGTCAGCGGCAGGAAGCCACAGTGTGAGGGCTCCCCGCGCCCCTGGGGGCGGAGCCAAGCAAGGGGGTGACCTTTGGACCACAGCTGAGGGCGGGGCCTCCTCGCTCCGCGGCAGTTTCTGCCCGCCCACATTCCCCCCCCCCAGACCTCCCGCAGGTCCACAATCATCGACTCCTGCTCCTTCCTAATGGAAAACTCACGCGCTGTGTTAAATGGATCATAAAAGTGACACAGGCTTTTGGTAAAACCTCAACAACACGGGAGGGCACAGCAGCATGGCACCCCTCCTGCCCCGCCCCCTCTCCCGACGTGGGGGGGGGCATGCGAGAGGAAGACCAAGGTCCCTCCCCCAGGTGGCAACTGGCTCCACTTGCTGGTTCGCCGGGCTGCGTGGGGATGTGTGGGCGGTACCGGCTGAGGACACGGTGGGGGGGGGGGGGGGAGGTGTGTGTGCCAAGCCCCGAGTGTACAACGCAGGCAGGAACGCCAACCTTCCAGCTCACCCTAGCGAGCCTCCCTCAGGCCCCTCCCAGCCCCCACCGCCATTCACATCTCCCACCCACCTGTTCCAAGTCTTCACCTTTTACAGCAAATGGTCCCTGTTTAAAATCACGGGGAAGGCTTCTGTGAACGGATACAGTGCGTGCGCATGTCTGTGCGTGCGTACATGCGCCTGCGCATCTGAAAGGACATTTTTTAAATTGACTTATCTTTAGGGGGTAAGGGAAGGAGAGGAGAGAAACATCAATGTACGGTTGCCTCTCATGGGTGCCCTGCTGGGAACTGGCCTGCAACCCAGGCATGTGCCCTGACTGGGAATCCAACTGTGATCGTCTGATTCGCAGGCCCACGCTCAATCCACTGAGCTACGCCAGCCAGGGCTTAGGACATTTCTTCATTGTTTTTAAAGAGAGAGGAAGGGAGGGAGACAAACATCGATGGGCTGCCTTATTCAGTTGCCTTCTTCCACGTGCCCGGACTGGGCATCAAACCCGCAACTCTCCTCCGGCATGTGCCCTGACCAGAACTGAACCCACAACCTTTTGGTCTATGGGACCATGCTCCAACCAACGGAGCACTGGCCAGGGTGTTATTTTTTTTTTTGATAAATGTTCTATATGGTGATACTTTTAAACAACTTTAGGATCCTTGGGGTGAAGGGAAGGCCAAGCAGACCTGTGTTCCATAAGACTCGTCAAGGCCAAGCCTCCCGGGGGTCCCGTCCCCCCTAGGGGTCCTTCCCCAGAACCCCAGGCCGGTGCTGCCACCCTCACTGGCACCCACGGGCTGCATCCGTGCCCGGAATGAGCTGGCTGTGCGACCTGGCACCTCGTGCAGCTGGGCGTGTTGGTCATCCTGGTGGGTTTGAGGCTGACCCGGTGGGGTGGCAAGGACTCAGCAGGTCACAGGAAGAGCCCGGGACACCTGCTGACAGGTGTTTGGCCCACGCAGCTGTGGGAGGGATGGGGCAGCTGGAGTTTTGTTTCTTTGTCCCGGGATTTGTAGAAGCCAGTTCAAAGTGACAACCTTCATTTCACCTGCTCGCCCATTCATTCAACGGATGTTCACTGGGGGCCAACTGGGGGCCCCAGGTTGTGCCAAGGGGCAGTGGGGAGCCGGCCAGACACCACTGATCCCTCAGGGGCCCTGCACACCTGTGGGGGGACAGGCCACTGCCTCTGAGTCACACTGACATGGCAGCTGGAGAGACCAGGTCTGACCAGGTCCCAGCAGAGGCCCCCGTGGGACCTGAGGGTGGGCTGTGGAGTGGGAGGGCAGGGCAGGCAGAAGGCCCCGCGGGCCGAGGGAGCAGGATGACCCGCAGAGGCAGGACTGGTGAGGCGGCAGGGGCGGGGGCAGCCGAGGGGGCAGACCCGGCACCTCACTCCTTAAGTGTGTGTGCGGCGGGGGAGGCTCTGGGAGGACGGCCCCCTCTCCGCCTCTGTGCACCCCTGGCCAGGAGAGCGACAGGGGCGTGTGCGTCTCTGCAGGCTTCTGGGCCTGGCGCGTGTCTGTTTCTTTGTGTGCACGCGTCTGGGAGCACCTGTGCGCGTCCACGTGCCACTCACTAACGATCGCCTCCTGGCTCCAAATCCACCACTTACAGCCTGTGATTACAGACCGATTCCTCCACGTTGAGGGTCTGTGAGGCCGGGGTTTGGATCTGATAACGCCCGGCTGTGGGTTAGGGTTAGGGATCCTGCCCACCGGCGGCGCAGTGTTACGTGTTCCCAGTAGAGGGCGCAGGAGGGACACAGCAGGAGGAAGGGGCTCCACTTGCTGGTTCGCCGGGCTGCGTGGGGATGTGTGGGCGGTACCGGCTGAGGACACGGTGGGGGTGGGGGGGAGGTGTGTGTGCCAAGCCCCGAGTGTACAACGCAGGCAGGAACGCCAACCTTCCAGCTCACCCTAGCGAGCCTCCCTCAGGCCCCTCCCAGCCCCC